AATGTTCTTTTGAGGTACAACTGTACGAGTACATGCAATTCAGATTCCGATAAAACAGAGATTATATTTTTTTTTTTTCGAAATTAAAAACAAATATTTTGTCTGTAAAACATTTACATATATGGCTGTAATTACTTCGTAATCTTATTAATCTTAACGAGTCATAGGTCATAGTATACATTGTTGGAAAGAGCTTCATAAATGTTTCACAGAATTATTGGTCTATGTGTTCTTTTCGTGTGATTATCGTGAAGTATATGAAATGCGTTTTGAACAAATAAGAATGCTGAGTAACCAAATACACACAAAAATCATATTAAAAAATATTATTTAATAATCTTATCTAACTTTATTTTTTTACGGTTTAAAACATGTCGCTTTTCTCTAAATATATAAATATAGGATGTAACAAGGTATGGATAATAAGCCGGAAGGAGTGGAAAGCTGTCAATCCGACGTCGACCAGCGCCTTACGTCATCCCGTCAACAGGTTTTTCATCCACCACACAGCTACATGTTATCCCACGTGTTCTGGTTCCATACAGCGCTATCACATGAACAGTAGGTTAAGCTTCTTCCTTGTCACTCTATAATTAATATACAAGAGGATTCCATTTAATGTAATACTGCTTAAAGCGATACGTCGATACAGCTTTATTGAACAATGTCACAAAATGTAACTTTTATTATGATTTCTGTTTCAGCCAAAAAATGGGCTGACATTGGTTACAGTTTCCTGGTGGGGAATGATGGGAATGTGTAAGGTGGATAATTTTTGGCAGCATCTTTCATCGGTAACTTCAATAATGAACTACAAACTAGTGCTGCATTAAATGCAGCAAAGAACCTGATCCAATGTGGTGTGGATAAAGGCTACATAAAATCTAGCTACACTCTTCATGGACATCGTGATGTATCTTCAACAACATGCACTGGGAATAAATTGTATGCAGAGATAAAAAAATGGCCACACTATCAAAGCATGCCGTAGATACTGCAAATGATCTTTTTGTTTTGTTTTGTGCATATTTTGACGATGCAACAAAGTATGTGACAACGTGTGTTCAAAAGAAACTTCTTTGTGTATATCTTCATTACATTGAAAAAATTGATATATGTATTGTGTTTTTTTAATTAAATGATATATTTAAAAGAATAAAAACATGCACGAAAATGGTCTATCTAAAAATATTTATATTTGCAAATGTTTGCCCTTATATAACACTATTTAAACAAGGCGTTTTTACATCTCGGTAAAACATGTTTGTCATGTGACCATAAATTGATTGTTAAGTCATAAACAATCTACGTAATTTTATAGTGACGTCCAAAGTGATCGACGTCTTCAACACATTCAAATTATAGCGATGAGTTTTGAAACAATGTAAATCTCTTATGGATTTAAAACACCAATACCTCACTATTTTTAATAAATTAGTCAAAAATGAAAATATAAGTAATAATATTTTACTTCAAAAAGATGTTAAAGCCCTTTGGGTTAATCGTTTTACATCCCAATAAAACTAAAAAAAAAAATACCTTATTTCTTAAATAGCTGTATTTGCAAATGTTTGCACTTACTTAACACTATTTGAACAAGGCGGTTTTACACCTGTGTAAAACACGTTCATCATGTGACCATGATTTAATTCTTTAGTCATAAACGATCTACGTAATTTTATAGTGACGTCATAAGTGATCGACGTGTTCAACAAATTCAATTTATACCGTTGAGTTTTGAAATGAAGGAAGGATGTGGAGATAACAAACATTATTCAATATCAAAGTCCATAAAACAACACAAAGTAGAAGCAACGGACATATCAGAGGTGGGATAGGTGCCATGGAGGAGTGAGACATCCATCCGCCCTGTGCTCCTTGTCATGATCGGGAAATAACGGAAAAATCCGTTGTCAATTCAGTGTATAAATAATGGACAAACAATTATTATTATACCTCATTATAAATATTCTGCACAACGCGTTATCTGATTGGTTCTAGGTTATCACGTGATCGGGCCGTAAAACTTCATATTTTCCTTGTCGTCGGCATGCTTTTCATCATACTCCACCTCTTCGGATACTTAGTGCATTTTCCCGCAGTAATTACAATTTCTCACAATAGCCTGGTTTACGTCACAAAATTGATGATAATGTGTTGATCAACGGCGTTAAACATTGCGTTAAAAATGAAAGTGGAATTTGAAAGTTTATGTTTATTTCAAAGTATAATAAACAATTCATTGCATGAATGAAACAAGCCAAGAAAAATCATATTCCCCTTTATCGGGGAATAGCAGTCTCTGAATAAGTCTTCATATTCCCCTCACTATCATGCAATAAATGTATATTATTATATAGTCTATTTATATTCCCTATATAATCTATACAAGCACAAACAGTTCATAACACTCCATATTCACCGGATCTGAGGCCGTATTCACCGGAGGGTCATTGCGCGTGCAGCGCAATTGTGACGTCACAATCAACACCTCAAACAACGTTGTAAACAATGGCTGCAACGGCCGCAGCGAGCAACGTATCTGAGCAGGAAGAATATTATACAAACCTATAGCAGGATTATTTTTTAAACATTTGAACATCTTACACGGCGAAACTCAAAAAGGAAAATACGGAGTTGACAAACTGTAATCTGGATTTTTTTTTTTCAACGACGGAAGTTCGTTAATGAAAATGGTGTCGTCATTCAGCCTTCAATGTCTTATTTATTTAAATTCGGACTATATAATAAAACAATTATGGACTCTTTTGATGTTGAATATGGTTTGTTATTCATCAGAAAAATATGCATATTGACCTCGGCTTCGCCTCGGTCAATATGAATATTTTTATGGTGAATAACAAACCATATTCAACACCAAAAGAGTCCATAATTGTATATTATTATATAAGATTATTTTCGCAATTTTCATTGACTGAAAGGACGTCACGTGATATTCCTCCTTTTGCGATACCAACGCGAAAGCACGTCCGCGGAAATTGATATTGCACGACACACCGTTCCGTTGCACTAAAGTTACATAGATCGTGACGTCATAATATAAGTAGCGTTTTTTAATCATTGTGACGTAATGACAGCTTAGTCTGTTCAGTTAGAACTGTGTCAGTGCATTCACTTTGAGTGATTATGTAATATAACTATTATAGACTTTAGTAAACGGCCATTATGTGGTTATAAGGACTCGTGGCAATTGATATTGACCTCAGACACAGAAAATGATAGCGATCTCGCAGGCTCGGTCGCTATCACTTTCTGTGTCTTCAGTTAATATCAATTGCCAAGAGTCCTTATAACCACATATCGACCTACACTGAAGTCCAGAATTGTATAGTATGAAAAATGTCAGTCAGCATTTAACTCAAAGGTAAATTGTATTTGCTGACAAGGTCATTGTATCAGCCATAGAACTTAAGTAATGATGACTTTTAACGAGACTGCTGATATTCTTGTTTCATCAACTTGTTTGTCAATAATTTACCTCGTTTTAGAAATTGTTCATACGTAGATCATGCTCTTGCGTATCGAATCAACTGAAATATATGAACTCCGTATTCAGGTAATGGAGGTATTGTATATTGCTGCGTAAGTAAGGAAAATTGACGATAGAAAATTTAAAGTCATAACGTTTTTCATAGAGCTTGGTTGTTAGATTAACCTTAACATCTTTTTGAAGTAAAATATCCTAATATGAAACAGAGGTGTGAAACTCTGTCGTATCTTTTATCTCAAGCTCACTAGGATATATCGTATCGACATAATCGAAAAAATAAATCATTTGTAGGTTTAGAACTTTAGTACCTTACTATTTGTAATAAATCAGTTTCAAATGTAAATATATGTAATAAGGTATCATTTTTGAATTTTTTGGAGATTACAAAACTCCAAAAATTATACCTTATTTCTTAAAAAGATTGACACAGAATTATAGAATTAGAGGAGAAAACTTAATGTACGGGAATTTTCAAATGAAACCAGAATTAACATGTTGTTTTCTACGTTATGAAATATTTTCCAAGGCCCAAGAAGCACTCATTTGAGTAAGATGGATTGTTAGCGACACATGAGATTGAAATAATTTGATTATGTTCTTACACATTAAAAATAATATTGTGATCTATAGAAAAATATTAATCTTATGGTGTGTAATTATCTGAAGTCCTACATTGACTAATATTGCCATGGAATATTGATATAGAATAAATTTATTACAAAGTAACTATATATGCCACTTATATAATATGTTTGCACTTACAGATATCATGTATGGCTATCTATTTCTGAATGAGCGATTGGTTAGAAATTAAGGAGTAAATCCTATTTTGACTAATATTGCGTACAATATTTAGCTACTGATGACACTATTTTCTCTCTTTTTAAAACTAGTCATATGTAACAATTTATTACAAAGTAACTATTTATGAGTACATGCTAATGGTGGGATGAAGCTTTCACTGGACCAGATATCATGGTCTGACTAAGTAGAAAGGGTTATGTTGATTATTTAGAAACAATTGGTGTTGAATTGGTGCTTTTTTTTTTATTAAAGTAACTTTGTTTAATGACCAAATACAATATGCGTCAACTTCCCTTATTTATGCAGCAACATGCCTTCATCACCTGCATAATGGGTTTATGTTTATATTCCTCATTTGATTCTGTACGCAAGAGCATGCAATACGTATGAACATTTTTTAAATCAAGGTAAATTATTGACAAACAAGTTGCTGAAACAAGAGTATCAGAAGTCTCATTCCCTAAGTTTATGGTCGATACAAAGACCTTGTCAGAAAATACAATTTACAATTTAAGATTAAGTCAAATGCTGACTAAAGGTTTCCATACTAATTGAAGGGCATTTCACGTGTATACACACTGAATTTCAACGGATTTTACCGTGATGAAAAAAGACAATTTTAAATATCTACATTTATTTCATATTCAAATTTTTAATAACAACTTAAGCCTTTACAGACATCAAAAGTCATTATGAGCAATTAAATGTCTGTTGTTGATTTTCTACCATCCCTGTTTGTTTATCAAATATTGAGCCCTAGCCATGACGTCATTGCTGTAGTCATCATTTGTTGATCCTTTATCCAAGTTCTTCCATGATCGAACATTACTCACCCCAAAATTGTAAGCAGCAACACCACCTAACAAATAAAAATAATTTTTTTAACTTGTTATAATTTGAAAGGGGAAATATTGTGTTCTGTTTATATCAATACTTCTTTATCTTACACTGTATGCTCACTATTGGAGAACATTTTTGAAATATTTTTTTTTTCGAAAGCAAACATTTTCCGTTTCTGCATTATCTATCTAATACCTTGTTGCTGCTGCTCCGGAGTCCATGTTGGATGCTTGCTTTTAACTTGCTTTATATATCTCACTAGCGTGTATTTAGTCATCATGTTGATATGTTCACAGCTGTCCCAGTGGTAGGTTTTACAGTTACGACCAGTTTTACTATCACAGACTGGGCAGTGCCTTACATCACACTGAAAAAGTCACTTTCCCATTAATTTAACAACATAAAATATGTCAAGTGGTCAAATGCTTGTCAGATATAGGTTCCCCGATTATGACGCAGTACCTGCATAGTTCCATAAGCATTGTTGTTATCTCCATAACCATTGGTTGATATCAGTAGCCTACCAGCGTGCGACTCTCTGCTGGCAATGGCGGCGATGACTGCTGGATGAATACCTGAAACACAAATAGGCTGTATTCTTTAGTTTTAAAATCAAGATTAAAATGTCGTATAAAGGATGAAAAATCTTTGCTTGTTGCATCAATTATCATTCAATATAAGTATGCCCATTCTTTTAAATTCTTTTTTTTAATTGCCATTTGCTATCAAAAAGCAAAAAATAAAAGGCCTTCTGATAAAATAGAAAGTTAAAATACATGGAATAAGAGTAAAAAGAGTTATATTTAGATAAATATACTTACAATTATTTTGTCCGGCTGTGACATAACACTTTTTCTTAGTGTTCAGCCTACTGAGGTCGGGTGTAATTTCTCTGATGGAGGCTGATATTCCTGTTAAAATATTTTATTTATTACAAAAAGAAGGGCTTTATTTGACTTATTAAAGAAAAAAAAAGTTCTCCTAATCATTGAGCTTGTTTCTTGGAGGATATTGTTTATTTTACGACGAATGATTGTTTATATATTGCTTAAATAAAACTGAACTAGAATACAACATTTAAAATCTAAATGTTATATGTGGGGTAAATTTTTTTTATTCTAATGAATCAGTAAAAGAAATACAGACATCATGATATTGTTTAACGACAAAGTTAAGACAAAATTTCAAAATATGAAATTAGATTTGAAGGAATATTTTACAATTTAAACTAAGCCAAAATCTAGTTTGTGATTTCTAGGTTCAATACTGACCTCCATTCTTTCGTCCGGTTGGATTTAATTTTGTCACATCGCCAAAACAATTATATTTCCCTGTATAAATGAAAAAGGTGTAAACGTTCTGTGATATATCCCAGGAAATCTATAAACAATCCCTGTAATCTATAACCAAGTAAACTATAATACAGTTATGTAATGAACCATGCAAAATGCTGATTCTGCTGAATATTCAGCATCATCAGCTATTGTTGTCTTTAGGTCTCCACTCACTAACCTGGAAAAGATGCATTAGGAGTTATATCACCATGGTAAAGAGAAAGAAATCAACTGGAGTAGAGTAATGATACAATAGAGAACAATATTGCCTTGTGGTGCCCTGTTATTTACCTCAACTAGAACCATCAGGGATAGAGCCACCATACTTAGAGAACAACATTGTTACGTGGTGCCCTTTATTTACCTGGACTAGAACCATCAGGAGCAGAGTCACCATACATTAGAAAACAACACTGTCAAGTGGTGCCCTGTTATTTACCTGGACTAGAACCACCAGTAGATCCGCTGGACTTAGGAACACAACATTGTCTCGTGGCTCCCCCTCCACAAAGTCCTCTCTGGTATTCACCATTACAAGTCATTCTGTTTTCCTGACAAACGCCTCTTTTGTTGGCACAAGGGCGGTCCGCTAGAAGTATCAACATTAGAGAAATAAATTAATTCACAAAGAAAGCCATCTGTAAAATATACTAAAAACAAAAGGAAGAGAAATCAGAAGGAAAAGTTTGCTTTTTATCTTTTCACACTGATATTAAAGAAATATCAAATGTCCAATGTATTTCGATCTAATTTCGGCCTTACCTGGACTTGGGACACAGCATTGTCTGGATGCTGCTCCTCTGCATAATCCTCTTTGGTATCGTCCATTCTCACAGGTAATGGTGTTTGATTGACATGTACCTCCTTTATTTGTGCATCGGGTATCACCTACAACTTTAAGTGTGAATTATGAACTTGTTGTGATATTTACGATGAAATATTTAAGGAATAAATTACATAGCAACCCAAATTAAACTGTATAACCTGGGTTGGGACAGTTTACTCTTTTTAAACAGCTTCTACGCTTTATAAACCGCGAAGCGGTTTATAAAAAAAGCGTAAACTGTTCCAACCCAGGTTATAGCAGTATAACTTGGGTTTCTATTTAAATTCATGTCATATAATTTAATTTTCAATCATTCAATACCATAAAAAAAAACATGCATTCTGAGAGTATTGCATAAGCAATACATGTCCCAGTGTTTTTTTTATTTTCAAAATAGGATTTAGGACAAATTCTGCTTCAAAGAAGAAGGTCTACTTATAACGGAGCGTAATTGGTATCAGTGGAAATTCCAATAGATTGTTGGAAGACCTGGTCTCTAAAAACTACAGAGATATTGTCAATCAGAATTAAATCTATTTTCGAATTTCCTGCTAAGAAAGTATCTGATATATAAAAAATAGGGATGATAATATATAACTTGTTAACTGATACAAATTAAAGACGGTGTGGCACTTAGAAAATCTTAAAATGGTTAGCAGAAAAAAAAGAAAGAGGCCGTACAAGACGAGTTCAATTCCCTGCTATGAGGCAATATTATTTTCAATTTTATAAGGTGAAATTATTTTTCTTACAATAAAGCAAGAAGACCTATGCTTGAAAGTTGATAATTTAGCGCTTTCAAATATCTTTATTAGCGATGTAGATTGAGACTGTGATTTGATAAATCAGTTTGTGAAGTATTAAAATTGTCTGAAAAAGGGGAAGCTCCGACTTATTTTTAATTATGATCATAATGAACTTGCATGAAGTCTGCACTTAAAAATCATCCATGTCTGATAATTTCCTGGTATTTTTCATTATTCTCTTATTTTTTATCTTTTCAAGGTGAAATATGTAAAAATAAAAATTAAACGATAAAAAAATATTCTGGCGTCGTTTTAGTCACCAAGTGTGCATACAAAATGTGCATACTTGGAAAAAAAAATTACCAAAATGTAAATTTGATGCATTTAAGTTTATCGGTACAACGTCTTGCGGTTATCTGTTAGCAATTTAATATCCAGTGCCATCCCTAAAAGGTCTATATTCAAAGAAAATAATACCGATATCTTACAAATTTAAGATAATTGTTCCATTAAAATAGTTTAAATATTAACTGATATGTAATATTCTAAAGGAAATAAGGTAAAGTGCCCTACCTAACACGGACTGTAGAACACATAAAAACACAAGCAAGATACTGCCTTGAAAATTCCCAAACATTTTCTGCTTTTAGATTTGTAAATAAGTTTCCTACAGCTTTTGTCGACAGTTTTATAGAAACATTTGTGCATGACCTTAACCCTGATTATCATCTATAACCTTCGTCACTATAGTTCCACATTACTGAATTTAAATTCTGCTACACCTTTATTGTGCAAACATCAACTAACAAAAATGAAATTTTGAATTTATTATTCCTGTTTTTGAATTTTAGATAATTATATTTTCTACACATTAAACATATAAAGATTAATTTTATTCAATTTGAAAATCATGTAAGTTTTTTTTCTCAGAATAATATATATATATATTTTCAGAAAAAAATGCAAAGGTAACGTAAGCATAATTAAACGAGAGATTTTTAAAGGAAGTTTAAGATTTTTTTTATGTTCAATGATTCGTTTTGCTTACAAGATTTTGAGATTGACCAGATCTCGTTATTTAACATGTAGTAATATTAATTAATCCCACTTTAAAACATTTAGATAAAAACTTGAGTCTGATTTAAAAAAAAATAACGAAACTCTCTCTTTTCTTTACCATATTCTCCCAATCTGCCATTGCATTATTTCGTCTGTTGAATAATAACATATCATGAATTCAATATATCTCTTAATAAAATCGTGCAAGCTGCACTAGGGCATAATTCCCTGCACATATCCTTTGGAGTCGGTAAAAAAGATTTTCAAAAACATGATATAAAGTAGAGTATTGAAAAATATTTTTAATACTCAGTCTGTATACAAGTGTTTATATTATTATATTTGGATAGGGCATACTTTTCGACAAAAATGTAAGCAAATTAGTTAATAATATGAAATACACCGTCATTATATGTATGTTTTAGTTAGACAGAATAATTAGGTGATCCATTATTAGTATCCCCTCTCAGCAGAGTTGAAGTGGATGTTATAAAGAGTATGTGTGTGTGTGCGTCTAAATTTGTCCTTGAGCGCAACGCAGGTGAAGTTTTTTGGATCGGGATAGATTTCGAATGCTGCCTTGATTTAATATATTCTTTAATCAAGGGTATGATCCACTGTGTCCATGCATAAATGCATAAATTATATACCTTAGTAGTTTTATTGGGAACATGTAGATTTTAAAATACTTTTTAGCCAAATTTTAAAAATACATCTTAGTAGGTGATAGGGGATTTTTTGGGGATGTTTTCCTTGTCTAGTACATGTACATTTCTATATTTAAAAAATGAGATAGTTATATAACTTATAAAATGCCATAATTATGCAAAATTTATAAAACTTGTATATGAATATGAATCGTTATTATACATGTACTATTTCATAAATGCAATCCACAGTCTTTATGCAATCCATATGCTGTATATAATTAAACAAGAGATTAACCTAAGAAGGACTTTTTTAAGAAATTTTTTTTTATCAATTTACTTCTTAAAGAGGAAAAAACATAAAGTCCAAAATAGTTAATTTTGATAGTTAAAAATTTAATTTTTAACCTGTTTATTATCAAATTTTCTTCAGAAAACTTAAAAGAAAAGACAGTTACATTTTTTAAAAATTATTAAACATTTAAGTTGCAGAAAACATAACAGCGTCAAAAGAAATATCCCCCGATTTTCAAGAAATGAAAAACAAAACAAAACAAAAAACAAAACAGGAATGCTTAATTACTAGGCAGTTAATAATGTCATATTTACCTTGTGTTTCGTAATTGTACGCAGATGTTGACAGCGCGAAATTGTATGAAAAATTGTCAGGTAAAGGTGATAAAGAGACTTATTCATAAACAGCCCTGTAAATCCTAAAAGGTAGTAAACACTGTCTCCATTCCTCAGTTGTATTATTTTATTTTTGCTGTCCAATATCCTTTATGTTCAAGTTGAGAGAAAATTTAAGTAAGCATTTAAAAACACAACAAAGTTACACATTGTTAAAAAGGAGCAATAAAAAAATTAAATACATGCATGTCATTTGAACGTTTCCAAATAAAAGTATTCAATTGTGTCAATAGAATCTTCAATTTTAACTCAAGCAGAAAATTTTGAATAAAATCTTCATGGGATTAGAAAAAAACCCACAGATAGGCTTATAAATCTGAAAGTTTTTAAAAAATTATAGATTTTCTATTTATTTTTTGCCATAATCCTCATAAAAGATTCACAGCTTCTTACAATATTGTTGTTTGTTTGCTCTGCTCTGCACCTAATTTGTTTTATTACTTTATGGACTTTTGATCTTGAATACTGTTCGTTATCTCCACATGTTTCATTGACACTATTTGAAAGAAAAATCGAAATTCTAGGTGACTTGACTAATTAAATTTGGAGTTTGACCCACTTTTACCCCAAAATTCCAAACTTTAACGTTGGCAATAACTATTGATCGGTAGATACTAGGACCTTCATATTTCAATTATATATTCTTTGTGGAAAGACCTTTCATTGAATGCCAAAAAATTTGACCTTTTTACCTTGACCTTGGAGATTTCCCTACTTATGAAAAAACTTTAACTTTGGCCATAACTTTTGAATGGTAAAGGCTAGGGCTTTCATACTTCACATATGTAATCTTTGTGAGGAGACCTTTCATTGAATACCAACAACTTTGACCCTTTGATGTTGACCTTGAGTTTGACCTACTTTTTGAGAACTTTAACCTTGGCCATAATTTTGAACGGTTTGGACAAGGGCTTTCATACTCCACATATGTAATACTTGTGGCAAGACCTTTTATTGGATATAAAGCACTTTGACCCTTTGAAGTTGGAGTTTGACCTACTTTTTAACAACTTTAACCTTGACCATAACTTTTGTACGGTTCGGGCAAGGGCCCCTGAAGCTGAAGATGAAAGTCCTGCAAAGAGCTAGAAAATTTTTTTTTCGTCAGGACGAAAACAGTTTAGGATTGATTTATTGTATATTGTTTAACGTCCCTCTCGAGAATTTTTCACTCATATGGAGACGTCACCGTATACCGGTGAAGGGCTTTAAATTTTGACCTTTACTCGACACTCAGGGCCATTGAGCAGTGAGGGTGCTTTATCGTGCCAACGCCCTCCGCTGACACGGGCCCAGGTTTTTAAGGTCTCATCCAAAGGTCCCGCAACTTTCACTTCAAAGTGCCGAGCGCATGGCGAAGGAACAGTTGCTACCCATTTTTATCGACTTCGGTCAGTCGCGGCCGAGATTCGAACTCATAACCTCCCAATCACGGAGCGAGCGCTCAACCGACTGAGCTACCGTGAACAGTAAGACAGTTTAGGAAGAGAAGAATGAAATGGTTTTGGGCGAGGATATTTACATGTACCTGGAAATTTCAGTCGGTATAGTTAATAACAACAACTTACTTTTGATGTCTTATCCAAGTATTTATTTTTTTTCCTTTCCCGTTCATTTTGATGCTACGGATATTCAAAAATGAAATTTTCCTGTGCGTTGAAGTTTTGGAGAATTTCTGAAATAAATTTGTTGCAAAGTGAAATATGTAGAGATAACGAACAGTATTTGAGCTCAAAATTCCATTAAACATTATACAAAATAACCAACACAAATCTCTGAAACATCAGAGGTGGGAATAGGTGCCATGGAGGAGTAAGCAGACCCTGCTGACCAGTCACACCCGCCGTATGCTCCTTGTCATGATCGGGAAATCATAGGAAATCCGTGGTCAATCTGAAGTACAATCTGAAGTTTTTATTTCACTGAATTTTTTATGATTTTCCCAATCATGAAGGCACACGGCGGGCGTGACCGACTAATAAGGGATAAATAACCAATGTTTTCTCCTTCATGGTATACCTTATTCCATCTCCGAAATTCATTCATTCTGCTCCTCGTGCAAAATGTTAAAATGGTCTTTAGAGAATGCTGATAATTACTAATCATTATTTTCAAATGTCAATTTACAGTAAATCATTCTTTTCCTAATACAATAAAGATGACATTCTACAATATCACATTCCAGTAGAGTACTCGGAATTTCAGTCATTTAATTAATGAGTTCAACGTACACTGTCTATAATTGATTCAATAACTTAAAAAATCCTAACGAATATATATAAATATTGATATTTTTCCGGTGAATAACAACACAAAAAGAGTCCATAATTGTATATTATTTCCATATAATTTTACTCCATGTATCCCATTAAACCGAAATGAAATTTAAAGACAACACAGAGTCTACCACATCAGTCTGATATTTGTTTGTTTAAGTGCTATAACGATAAGGACCAATCAACAACTAAATAATACAAGAAACATATTGACGCAAGAGTCAAAAACAGTCGTAAAACAATTGTTCCTTATACATGTTTTATGAGGCAAGAAATTGAAATGTGTGATCTGTTATTTAAAGTAGCCATGCGTTTCTGCGGAGTTAAAAAATAAAGTATTTAGTTTTCATAAAGAATATTAATAAAGACCTATTGTGGCAGAGATGATAAGTTTTTCTCTTGTCAACTACTAGTAATTATGTAGTATAATTCTGCTATCACCTGTACACTGTATATTGTTTTAGTTATGTTCGAAACGGCATGTCCGGAGTACAATATTATTCAATTTAAAAGTTTTTTTAATTAAAGTAAGGTAAGGACGTTGATGTTAGAGTGATTTCAACAAACTCGTTTAAAGGTCCTGTTCTGGCTCACGTATTTTATACCAGTTGTTTGTGCTCGTTTTTTATGTTGAATTCGTGAGAGTGTTTTTCTGCCTGATCAATACACATTGCTCAAAACGTGTGTAGCCTTCAACACGGTATGCTTACTTATTTTAAGCACCTGATCCCACCTCTGCAATTTCCACTAAGTTTATGCCCTTTTTACGGATCTGTAGTATTCATTGACTTTTCAAATCCATTTATTACTATTCCTTATCTACAAAGTATTTTCTTTTAATGGGTAGACTTGTAGCTCACTGGTTGTCCATACTTTTTTTTTTAAGTAGTGACTTACAAATGGTCAGGCAAACAGCTGAATAATAGTTACAATTGTTTGCTTTTTTAATGACGTAAAGTGAAACATATGGAGATAACGAACATTATTTGAGATCAAAAGTAAAAAAAAAAATAGGAGCAGAGCAAACACTAGCCTCCAAAACATCAAAGGTAGGATCAGGTGCCATGGAGGAGTAAATATCCCCTTCCGACCGGTCACACCCGCCGTGTGCTCCTTGTCATGATCGAGAAATATCCGTAGTTCAATCTGTGTATAACTAACAATAAGTATGATAAACGTCAGTCAGCATTTAACTCATTGATAAATTGTATTTGCTGACAATGTCATTGTATCGACCACAGAACTTACAAAATGATAATTTTAAACAAGACTGCTGAAATCTTGTTTCATCAACTTGTTGTCAATATTCTATCTCGTTTTAAAGAAGGAATACATAACTTTATAAATGTGTATAACACTGTATATACAACAGTACGAGTCACGTGTATATAACTTTACACCTTGTACCATCGCATGTATTTTACCATAATTAAATCTCAGTAATCTGAAACTGTTCGTATTTACCCTGAATTTATTTAAACTGATTTCAATCCACAAACATATACATTTGTATTCATTGACATTGTTATGTCTTTTCATCGATAAATATTTTAAGTGTAATGATATATTCAAAGAAGTATCTTTTTACCACGCATGACATCATTTGTTGCATACAAAACAAAAAGATCATTTGCATTATCTACGGATTGCTTTGATAGTGTGGCCATTTCCTTATCTCTGCATACAGCATGTTCCCAGGGCATGTTGTTGAAGATACATCACGATGTCCATGAAGAGTGTAGCTAGATTTTATGTAGCCTTTATCCACACCACATTGAATTAGGTTCTTTGCTGCGTTTAACGCAGCACTAATTGGTAGTTGATCAGTAAATGTGCCGATGAAAGATGCTGCCAAATCGTTGTTATAGCCAGACGTATGAGCACCGACACGACTCCAACCTCGACCTTCGTAAACATTCCCATCATTCCCTACCAGGAAGCTGTAACCAATGTCTGACCATTTATTGGCTGAATGAAAAAATATAATTAAAGTTACATTTTGTAAAGTTGGGAATAATGTGCTTCATTTGAGAAAATAAATATGTTGCAAAAAAGCATCAATTGTGCATACATTTTTTCATATCTTTTTTTACAAGAATCTTTCATTTGCATGTAAAATAAATATGTTTTAAAATTAATATATGATAGAACAGTTTTTCTTCAATGAAAAAAAAGAAAGATGATTGAACTAAAAAATTCTTTAATCGGTGCTAATTTGTGAAGAGGGTATGAAGAGGGTAAAAAAAACAGATCTCTGGAAACTCAAAAAGTAAGAACATGTGCTGCTTTAACCAGTGAAATGGGAGGCACTATTAAGAGAAACAATGAAGCAAATAAACATATGTTTTCGATCATAGCGCTTTACCCAATTACACATTAAATGGAATCCACTGTATAGAGTGACAAGGGAGAATGTAAACATACCGTTCATGTGATATCGCTGTATGGATCGTACCAGTATGACCACTTACACATAAAGTAGAATCCACTGTATAGAGTGACAAGGGAGAATCTAAACATACTGTTCATGTGATATCGCTGTATGGATCGTACCAGTATGACCACTAACAAGAAGTGGAATCTACTGTATACAGTGACAAGTAAGAAGCTTAACCTACTGTTCATGTGATGGTGCTGTATGGACCGTACCATCTCAGAACATGTAGAGATGGAGTTACAGGACGGTGTAGCTGTGTGGTGGATGAAGAACCTGTTGACGGGATGACTTAAGGCGCTGGTCGACGTCGGATTGGCAGCTTGCCACTCATTCCGGCTTATTATTCGTACCTTGCTACATCCTTTAATTTTAAAGATGATATTTTTTAATATATTCAGATTATTAAACTATTATTTTTTTTCAATTAAAGTCACTAAATAATAACAATATATTTTTTGATGAACAAAGATCCATAATTCTATGAAAACATTTAGGAACTCTTGCCAACAACATGTCATAAAAGTCCCTGTTCTGGGAAGGATATATATATACGATGACTGGTATAAGAAGAAAAGGTATTTACAGTCATAAATTTAGATATTTTACAGATTAAGTTCATCTTTCTGTAGTGACGAAGGAATAGAAATATTCTTTGTTTTTTCACGTGAATATAAATTGCTTGTATAGTAAGTACCCCACAGTTAATAAAACATTTATCATTAATTTCCTCTGTGTCTCCCTTTTCTGTCAACATTAACGTAGAAAAAGCTGTGTTATTGCATAGTCATGATAATAAAACTAGCCATGATATATATATATATATATATATATGTATATATACTGACACGCAAAAGAAACGCAACACCCTACTTTAGGGGGAAATAATTACGTAAAGTAAAAAATTTTGTATCTTAAAGCTATGAATATCTTCATTTTGGTAAACATCGGTAATTTAACCTTGAACGCTTTCCATACCATAACCGGAAGTCAAGTTTGAATCTGCTTAACCGAAATCAAAAATTGCATGTTGAACAAAACATTTGGCAATATTATGGAGTTTTAAGGGTTTTATACTGTTCATCATAAGTAATTTAGCAATAATTCAAAAAATAAACTCTCCTTCCTTTTCCCGTAATGATGGTAAGGCTACTTGAAAATGGCTTATGTACGCATTTCCATTGCTCTAGCTGGAAAATTTCAATGTAAAGGTGATGGAGAATTGCTGATGCAAAATTTTACTACATTACGCCTCAACAGGGTCTAACGTATCATATGCATTAAAGAGAGTCTTTGTACCGGAAGTCCAGGGGTGGCTAAACTGCTCTAAGTTAGAGAAAATTCGACCTAATCATCTGAAAAACGGGAATTTAAAAATGTCGAAGAATTATTCCTTCGCTCAGATTTCGATATTAATGAACCTACTGTATCGTAGAAGTTAAGCTGCATTCGTTGTTTAGGGCAGTCTTGCACGTTTTACTTGAATGGCTGGAAGGGGGGTGTTTTAACAGTCATATTTTACTTAGTAAAGTAAACAGATAAACATTTAACATTTTTACAAAATCTCTGATGTTCTGCAAAATGAGTTTAGCCATACTTTATTCGCTATTGAAAATCATAAGATAAAAAAAATCAAACAATTGTAGATTACTGCTTGTTGCGTTTCTTTTGCGTGTCAGTATATATATATATATATATATATATATATATATATATATATATATATATATATATATATATATATATATATATATATATATATATATATATATATATATATAATGCCATGATATACAATAAAGAAAGAAAAAAGTGATCAAAAAGGGATAAAAAAAGAAACTTGTAAAATATCCTTTACTTTAAGTACATTATGATTAAATCATTTCATTTCATTTATTTTTTAATTTTGAATTTAATTATTTGTTTATTGGAGAAAGTGTAGGAGTAGTTTTCTAACGTTATGATTCTTGATAGTTATGCACTGAATTAGCAACCTGTACTGTTACAAAATTTTACTTTATTAAATTATAATTTACAAGCTTTAAATAACTACAGTAAATACTTTGATATTAAAATATACTATGAAATTTTACTCAAGACTTTATGTGATATTTTGAGCTTCAGTGCATTGAATTTGATACTAAATACTAAGAAAGTACAATGGAAATAAAAATTTTAAAAAATAGTTAATATTCTTTGACTTAGTTATAAGTATAAAAAGGTATACGATTTCTGGAAGAATGATTCAAAACAAATGACTCATATACAGAAATTAGAGCCAAAAAATCAGTAAAAATCTATAAACAGGGCGCAGAGTTTAGGCTTTATACATCTCAACGGAATACAGATATCTCCCCAGGATCTTACATTTATGTTGGTACTGTGTTCTTGAAAAACAAGCAATTTAGAAAATCTGACGCTTTTACCCGGACTAAAACCATCAGGATAAGAACACAAAATTTGTGAAAATAACTTTTACGTAGTCCTCTCTTATTATGAAAACTAGTACAATCAGGATAATAACCACACGACATCATCGTAACCCCTTTTATTTCCCTTGACTGCACCCTCCAAGACTAACCTCACCCTGACTCGAACCAAAAGACTTAGAACAATAGTTATTTGGTCAATTATCTGGAAAAGATATACCTTGACTAGAGTGAAACATGGAAAAAACGAACAGTACTTAAGTTTATTAGGCCATTGAAACTTTGCAAATTTAGAGCTGAGTAAAAACGAGGTTTAAAATCGTCAGAGATGGAATCGGGTATCCTGGAGGGAAAACATTCCCTTTCTTCTGGTTTCACCCGCTGTGTGCTTTTTGTCATGATCTGTAGCCAATTTAATGTGTACATAATGGCCGAATAATTTGTATGAAAAACATCTGTTAGCATATGACTTAATGATAGATTGTTTTTGTATCTGTTAGCATATGACTTAATGATAGATTGTTTTTGCTTATTATAATTGGTTGATGACATAAAATTTGCAAAATGATGATTTTAAACGAGACGACATCAAATTGTCTGTAAACAGCATGTCTCATTTTATTTCGCAATGAAATAGAAATGTAAGGAATCCCTGTGTTGTTTGTTGGGTATGCCAGGAAACGTGTGATGATTTGTGCATAACAGGCTTCGTCCGTTATGCAAATTATCCTACATTTCCAACCATCTTTTATACGCTTGTATACCCAACAACCTTTAATAAACAGCAGTTGTGAAAATTTTGCGCCGCATCTAAATTCCAAAAACCTATCTCGCAAAAACTGGAGTAGAGTCATAATACAATGGGGAACAACATTATAATGTGGTATCCTGTTATACCTCAACTAGAACTATCAAGAGTACAGGCAACTTAATTAGAGGACCACATTGTTGCGTGGTGACCTGTTATTTACCTGTACTAGATCCGCCGGATGTAGGAACACAACATTGTCTCGTGACTCCCCCTCCACAAAGACCTCTCTGGTATTCACCATTACAAGCGTTTTTGTTTTCCTGACAAACGCCTCTTTTGTTGGCACAAGGGAGGTCCGCTGGAAATATCGAAAACAGAGAAGAGAAGTAAATTAATTTATAAAGAAAGCCATCTGTAAAATATACCAAAAAGAAGAGAAATCAGAGGGCAAAAAGTTTGTTTTTTTTATCCTATCACACTAACATTATACCAAATGTTCTAGGTATTTTTATCTTTTTTTTTTGCTTTACCAGGACTCGGGACACAGCATTGTCTGGATGCTGCTCCACTGCATAATCCTCTTTCATATTCTCCATTTATACAGGTAATAGTGTTTGATTGACACGTGCCTCCTTTATTTGTGCACAGGACATCGCCTACAACTTAGAGTGTGAATTGCAAAGAATAAATTTTACAATCTAAGTCAAGGTAAGATATACTGGTTTTCTATCCTGGAATAGTTGAAAAATAAATCTTTTTAATTATATGCCATGATCGAATGCAACATTTCTTTAAGATATACACACATAAGAGATGTTTTTTCTTAATTTTATGTATAAATATAAATTTTCTACAGTCATTTAATATTAATTTGTCAAACGTCAATTTTGCAATCTCAATATTTTCCACTTTCATTCTAAAAAACTATCTGATATAAAACAAGATGTTTTTGTGAAACACTATGTGCCCGGCGGCTACAAAGATCGAAAAAGCTGTTTTTAGCATATAGGTCACAGTCAAGGTCACAAGATCATTGACCTTTGTGTCTTTTGAGGAACTTAATTAGTTGAGTATGCATGCCAAATATAAAGTCTCTATCTCCTATGGTTCAAAAGTTATGGTGAAAGTTCGAAAAAGCTATTTTTAGTGTAGAGAGCACAGTCAAGGCACAAGGTCATTGACCTTGGTGTCAATTGAGAGAACTTAATCAGTTGAGTATGCATACCAAATATGAAGTCTCTATCTCCTTTAGTTCAAAAGTAATTGCGAAAATTCAAAAAAGACATTTTTAGCATATAGCTCACAGTCAAGGTCACAAGGTGATTGACCTTGAAGTCGTTTGAAGTAGCTTTATTAAATGTAGCATGCATACCAAATATGAAGTCTTTTATCTCCTTTGGTTCAAACGTAAGGCGAAAGTTTGAAAAAACTACTTTTAGCATAAAGGTCACAGTCAAGGTAACAGGGTCATTGACCTTGGTGTCATTGAAAAGAACTTAATTAGGAAAGTATGCATTCCAAATATGAAGTCTTTTTTCTATCTCTCATGGTTTAAAAGTTATCGCAAAGGTTAAAGTTGACAACAGGCATACAAACATATAAACAGACAAACAGATAGGACAAAAACAACATGCGCATAGAAATAAGGGGTGTTTATTTGAACCTTGTTAACCGATTATAAGCTCAGTCTGGCAATATAAGAATATAAAAAAAAAAATAAAGAAAGAAGAATACAAAGCGAGTACAATGCCATGCTACGAAGTTGAAATTATTTACCTGAAATTAAAAAAAAATCAATGCACAAGAGTAGTTAATTTAAAGTTTTTACATAACTATATTAGCAAAGTGTATTGAGACTTTGGAATAATTGGTTAGTTCCTGAAGAATAGATTGATGCTACATGTACATGTATTTAAACACAAATTATTACCTCTGTTGTTCTGATGATACCATTAATTTTAAATATTTACATTTTCAAATTCTTTGTGCTGGATAAAACTGCAAATAATAAATAATACTTTATTTCTACATAAATCTACGGGGTCATCGATAGGCGTGGTTAAATAAATCACGTGCAGGGTTTGAAAGATGCGGGGCTTGTAGCACGTGAATTTGCGAAATTAATGAGCATGTAAATATAAGGAATAACTGCCAGATTATGGATAGTTTTTTTTAGAGGAGAGTCATACGAGTTAAATATCACTATGGTTAGAAATTAAGTGTGAGCTTTCCCTTTATTTACAGTGTTCGTTTAAAACATATTTTTTTTAAAGATCAAATGGGAATAACCATTCTCAACGACGATTTCATTAAGGAATAACTGTTTAATATTTTGATTCATGATGTGATCAATCGATTGACTTTCCTGATAATCCGCAAAAACACCGAAGGAGTGTCCATGTGTAATGGTTTTCCTTGCATTTTCATTATTTTCTTAAATTTTGTCTATTCAAACTGAAATATGCAAAAAAGCATTAAACCATAAACAAGCTATTTTAGCGTCTTTTTAGTCTTCAGGGGTGCATACAAAATGTGCATACCTTTGGAAAATGACCAAAATATAATTTCTTACAATTAAGTTTATCGGTACAACGTACAATTTTGTTTTCAATTGCCATTCTTGCAAAGTCTCTCTAAAAAGTAAACTCTTCCAATAATGATATCTTACAATTTAAAGATTATTTTTCAATCAAAATTATTGAAATTAGTTGAAATTGATACATAATATTTTAAAGGAAATAATGTTGAAGAGTAGCCTACCTAACACGGCCTGTAGAACGAATACAATCACAAACAATATACTGCATTGAAAATTCACAAACATTTTCTGCTGTTAGATTTATAAATATTAAGTTTCCTACAACGTATGTTGACAGTTTTATAATTACGTATATGTATGACCTTAACCCTGAATATCCTTCGTCACTGTAGTTCCACATTACTGAATTTAAATTCTGTTACACCTTTACTGTGCGAAAATCAACTAACAAAACAAAATTTGGTATAAACAGGCATAGTTACACGAGAGATTTTCTTGGGAAGTAAGGAAGTTTAAGATTCCAATCATCCGTTTTCCGGTGTCGTTATCGATATTACTTCCCTCTTTAACTTCTTCTAGGCACCTAATTCCAGCTCTTGTGTCTCAAGGGTCCGATTTTTTTTTCTATGTTCAATATTTTGTTTTTCTTACAAGTTTTGAGATTTACCAGAGTTCCATATTTTTACATTTTACATGTGTTAATATTAATTAATCCTATTATAAAATATTAAGATAAAAACTGAAGTCTGATTGAAGAAATAACGAAACTATGTCTTTAATTTACAATATTCTCCCGATTTGCCATTGCATTATATCGCCTGTTCATCATGAATTCAAAATATCTCTTAATAAAACATATGGAATGAAAATGAAATCAAATCATGCAAGCTACACCTGGGCATGATGTTCTGACATATCCTTTGGAATCTTTAAAAATATATGCACAAAAATTATATAAACTAGATTATTGAAAGATATTTCTTTTAAAACTGTACAACTGTTACAGTATCGACTAAACCCAACCTGATACAAAGCAGTCCCAGAGCAGTCCCACAGCGGCCCAGCAGTCCCAGGAAGCAGTCCCAGCAGTCCCAGTTGGCGGGGTTTATTAATTTAATGGGCGGAGCTTACTCAGAAATGAGATTACCAATAAACAATGAATACAATAAAAGGCAGCTGAATATGAATAGAATCAACAATTCTTATGCGACAGTCGTTTCTGAACAGTACTACATGTATAGAAAAATAATAATTATTGTAGGAAGAAGACTTTCACACCTATTAATAACATGAATAATTATTTAAACAGAAATACGTGGTATATTAATCTTCCATCAAAATAAATTAATTTCTTTATTTTCTGTGATTGATATTGGTTTCCATTTTTATTTATTTCTTTACATTTTTATTTATTTCTTTACATAGAAAATTAAATTTGAATTACTTATTTATACCAGAATTAACTTTAGACAGATCTTATAATTAAAGAGCAAGGCCGATTCCCATACTATACTCTGAAGGTATTTTTGTGAAGTATTGGTTTTTGAAAAAAAAATTATTTGTTAAAGTTTTTTTCAGTCATGATTATTTTCACTGAGATGGCTGTTTACTTATCGTTAGTTTCTTTATCAAATAGAAAACAACAACACTCCATATTACATAAATTAACGTTCCGATGTACATCCATAAATCACGAAAATAGATACCTCAGATTATCTTTAAAAATTAATTAATCCCGAAAGAAATTTTTGTACGAATTTATTGAATCAGAGATTTTTTTGCATCACATAGATTGAAATTAGTGTCATTGTTGAGCAACATGTTCAGTGATGATACCCGAATAATACGCATTGATTTTCTGCTAATCATGCCCAAATGAAATTACATTGTAAAACCTCAGGTGTTGACACCATTTTTATACACATTAATCGGCCAGAAATAAGTCACACAAATCCCGATATTTTCAAATGTTTTTTTTTTAAAAATATTTGTACTCTTTTAATAACTTGTTTATAGATTTAAAAACTAATTCATAAATGAATCTGCAAATAATTGTTCACATTGTTTATGTGACGGAAGAGTGGTAACATAATTTTATTCATGGTCATTTAATAAATTGTTAGGTTTTATTTATTTGAGGGCTAATTATACACAACATTTGTGTAAATTTTAAGCCTCTAATACACTAAGTAAGTATACAGATCTATTTTATTAAAAATATGCAAGAAATCCATATTTTTTAAAACATTTTAAAAACCTCTTTGCTGAAAGTAAACAAAACAAAAACAGGGAAACTTCAAATTCAGAATACACAAGGGGCGGGGCTATCATGTCGCTCAGAACCTTTTTCATTGAGTGAACAAAGCAGTCCCAGAGCAGTCCCATAGCGGTCCCAGAGCATTCCCAATGCAGGGACTGCTTTCTGGGACTGCTTTGGTGTCAATTTGGGTCTGGTCGGTACTGTATATCATTATATTTGGATAGGGCATACTTTTCGACAAAAATGTAAGCAAACAAGTAAATGATATGAAATATATGTCCATTTAATTTATGTTTAAGGTAGATTCAATAAACAGTAAAATTGGGTGTTTCTTAATAAGTATCCCCTTTCAGCGGAGATGGAGTGGATGTAATACTGAGTTTGTATGTGAGTGTGTGTGTTTGTGTACGTTTGTTCTTGTGCGCAACGGAGGTGACACGATTTGGATAAGGATCGATTTCAAATGCTGCCTTGATTTAAATATATGCTTTTTGCAAGGGTATGTTCCACTTTGTTGTGCCCTTGTTATTCATGCATAAATTAAATACCTAGCAGTTTTATTTCGAACTTGCAGAGTATACTTTTTTGCCAAATTTTGAAAATACATAGTGGTAAAATATAGGGGATTTTTTGGGATGCTTTTCTTGTATGATACGTTTTTATACTTTTAAAAATGGGTTAATTATATAACTTCATTAATGGCATATTTATGCAAAATTTATAAAACTTAGATATAAAATATGAATCATAATCATACACGTATGTATTATTTCAAAAATACAATCCACAGTTTTTTTGCGATCTATAACGTGTAATACACTGTATATTTTCGTGGATATTATTTTGATTTCAGTTTAATTTAGCAATATATTATAAAACAAGAAATCAGCCTTAGACGGAAAATTTCCTGAGACATTTTCATTATTTTATCTCTTAAAGAATTAAAACACAGACTCCAAATTACTTGATTTTACAATTTTTAATATTAAATTTGCTTCAGAAAAAACATTGTTTGTAAGTTACATTTTTTAGTTAGATAAACATTAAGTCGCATAAAAACATCAAAACATCAGCAGGAAAAACCCCGTTTTTCAAAAAATGAAGAAAAAAAAAGCATTGATTCATTAGTCGGCAGTAAATAAGGTCATATTTACCTTGTGTTTCGTAATTGTACGCAGATGTTGACGAATAGCGAAATTATCAGGTAAAGGTCATAAAGAGGTATATCTATAAACAGCCCCGTGAATCTTCAATCAAAGAAGTGAAAAATGTATCCATCCCTCAGCCTTATTTTCATATTGTTGGTGTCCATTTTCCTTTATGTTCAAGGTAAGAGAAAATTTTGATAATCATTAACATTTAATAAAAAAAAAATAAGGATACATATTTCAAAACAGCAATGGGGATTTTAAATATACGTAAGTCATTTTAACTGTCCCAGATAAAAGAATTAAATTTTGTCAAATTGAATCTATAATTCTTCTTAAGCAGAACTTTTTAAAAAAAAATATCCTTCATGTCATTAAAAGAAAATTAAGATTGGCTTATAAAGGGCCACAGTTAGCGCCTATCGTAATTCCAAAGACTTCATAAATTTTGTCCATGAGGAACTGTAAAGCAATCCTTTTAATATCAACTTAAGAGTACTTGTGTCAGTACAACCTATGAGATATAATCTTACCTGAATTTAATATGCAGAATGAAATTTGCTCTGCTAATGTAACATATGTCAAATTCACCCCAAAACAAAAGCTTTTCGATGAATTTTTTAGATGATAAATTCTTTTTTACTGAGGTGAGAGAATAAAATATTCTTTTATTTCTATAAAACAAAAATCAAGTAGTCATCTTCTTTGTTTTACCAAATAAGGATTTTCGTTTATGAAAATCATATTAATATCTAGATAAACATAAAAAAAATACAAATATGCTTTTGAAAAATAGTTTTAGAGGTTTGCAACAAAACAATAATATAAGTGAGTATATGATAATCTTCATAAAATCTAAAAATCATAATTAATGTTATTAGTCTCAGGTTGATGGTTTCCTGTGCTTTTTTGTTTATTTACTTTTAATGATTTCTATATTTTACCGTTTTTTGTTTTATGATTTTATTTTATTGCTTCTTCTTAAGGTGACAGAAGCTGTATAAGACAGGGTGGTGTTTGCCAGGTTAACAGTAAACCATGTGACAACAGTTATATCAGGGGACTGTGCAATGGAGCCGCGTCAAGGCAGTGCTGTATTTCAAATGCAGGTACGGGGTATTTTAACTAATAAAAAAATACTCCCTTGAATTATCCCTCAAACGAAATATTATATGAATGATGTTCGTATAGCTACCCTTGTTATATAATAAACTTTTTATTTCTTCCCAAATAATTGTTTCATCTGTTTTTTTCAAACTGTTGAACATGTTTTTAAGTAGATGGCTCATTTCAGGAGTATAGTTGGCATCCGATTGAAAATTGAAACTGATAAAGATTTATCATACAAATATGATTTTATAACCCTTAATTTGCTGTCACTTTTGAAAATATTTTATCAGTTAAAGATCGTCCGTGCAAAAACAAAGGAGGCAAATGTCAAGAGAATCGTCTTTCCTGTAGTGGTAGCTACCAGAGGAATCTGTGTGGAGGAGGAGCCACGAGACAGTGCTGTATTCCAAGTTCAGGTAGAGGAATGTGGTAAACAGTACTTAAATATTCCGTTAGCAAAAGCTATACAAAATCTCTGAATAGCATTACAATCCTCACATGTATAATGGAATGTGTAACAACAAATCACTCTAGCAAAGAAGGAGCAAAACGATGCTTTATTTAACTTTTAAATTGATAAATTCAATGAATTTTATTGTTATTACCTTTTAATATTTCTACTGTTCTGATATATTTAGGTACAGGTGGTAGTTGTTCTTCAGCCAAAGCCATAGCCTGCAAAATTAAGAATTCTAGCAAGATATCTTTACTGAGAACCAATCCTTCCGGCGTCAATGACGGAGCCGATCCCCACTCTAACATCAGAGACGCTTGTAAGGGGAAACCAGCCAAACGCTCAAGGTACAAAAATTGTGAAATTTCATTTCTCTTGTTTAAAAAAAATAATTAGGGGTCTAAGCATTGCACATTAATTGGAAGGGTTTTTTAAATTTCTGCTGCAAATTAAAGAAAGGTGTGCGTTTTTAGACTTCATTCAGATATGACATATAATGGGGTTCAACAGAGAAGTTTTTATTAATTGTTGGCTGAATATTCATGATCATATGGTATGAAATATGTTTTCATTTGAGAATCTTTTTTTATTCTAAAATTAAAAAAATATGATCCTTTACAGCTATTCTTTATTTCATCATTTACCCGCTAGTCTATATACATTATTTGCAGGGTTCTTTTTTATATAATTTATTCTTTACAGCTTTTCAACTTATTATCCTTTACAGAAATTTTATATTTGATCATTTACAGCTATTTTGTATCCTCTCCTTTACAATTATTTTATATTTCATCCTTTACAGCTATTTTAATTTTCATCATTTACACCTATCTCATATTTGATCCTTCACAGCTATTGTGTATCCTCTTCTTTACAGTTATTTTATATTTTATCCTTTAAGCTATTCTTGTAAAGAAGGGAAATCCCCAGGAGGAACAGTGTGCCTGGATTCAAGAATTCTACAGTACATCTATAACCTTGGAACATCCACTAAATACCAATTTCAGGTAGAAGATTATCTTTATCTCTGCACCTATTATCTATAAACTTCAGAAACATTTTTACTTTATGTAAAAGATTATTCTTTTAGAGTAAAATTTCATATCATAAAGAAAGAAAACTTTTTTTTTTTTTGCATTTGAAGAAAGAAAATTAAAATATCTTTGCCACTTTTATTCAGATCGATGTATAAATTTAAAATACTCTTTGATAAAAAAAAAAGTATAAAACGTTTCGATATATCAAGGTCCATTGTCACAGTAAATAACAGAGGTTCAAACCTTAATTTTGAAGAAAAAAATCCTGATATTTGTGAAAATAGTATGGTCTAGAGCGTATTTTTCATATATCAAAAACAAAGACTTGATTTCTAAACATAAAATATTTGCTTTAAATGTGGATATTATACATATAAGATTGGGTTTTAGGATGAATCACAATGTTTTCATTTTTATTTTTATTTTTCCAGGTGAATGCAATAGCTGGAGCCTGTCACTCTACCACATCAAAACACTACCAAGGTAAGGCTGTAGATTTCCAGCTACACGGGAGCGGATCCAGTAGGTCAGCCCAGGAAAAATCCTTCCGGGACGCATGCACTAGAGCTGGCGGATGGTCACATGGTGGAACTCACGTGCATTGCCAAATAGGCTAGTTTTTTATTTGTCTGACATTCTTAAAGGTTTGATAGAACAGTCATTTTTGCAAAAAATCTTGTGACTATGTATTTCACAATGTCAAAGCAAAAAAAATGTCTTCATCTTTGCCAGTCGTATAGAATTATAAAAATTTCAATACTTTCCTCATCATTGCAAAATTAACAATATATTTCAGACATTGTTAGGGCGAGAAAATTTTACCATAATCGTCAAAATCATCATTATAAATTGAGTTCCGTTACAACAGCATAATACTAATTACAAAACGATGAAAAGATACATTAATTCCGGGTCCTTATTCATTCAACTTCATCGCGCTGAATAGGCTAGTTTTAGATTTATTGTTTTTCCATTCGACAAATATAAAGCCATGTCGATATGTTAAAGTTTAATATAAATGTTAATTTCTTTTTTGAAAAATGACCACAACCTCATCTGATAAAGATTTTACGCATGTGTGCGCTCAGCATCTGTTTTGTTACACATTCATCATCACCATAATGTTTTGTAGTTTGATGATGAAGTCAAGAATGAAAGGAGAAGAGGAGAAAGACTTTTTGTATTATAGTTACATTTATCAAAGCTAAATTGTTTTGAATCTAATACATACGTTTTCTCGCTATGTGGAATTGAATTGTAATCTGAAAAATAAATTATATTTATTTTACATTCCTTGATCTATATTATTTTTTTTTAGATGAATAAGCTACCTGCATGTGTATTTCTATTTACCCGTATAAATGTTTTTCAGTCAAGAAATTTTATTTATACTCTCAATTGATGAATTTATATAAATTAAAGAATTGAGGGACAATATGAAAACCATCTATCCTTCTGTATTCAATAATCCAGAAGTGAAAAAAAGAATTAGATAAATTACATGATCAGTACGTACTGGTCCCTGCTGACAAAGCAGGTAACAACATTGCCTTCGTTTGTAACATTCGTTCATTATACAGATTGTCTTTTAGAAGAACTTAGATTTAAATCAACAAGCGGTAATCCATCTTATACCCATAGTTCCTTTTCTAAGGAAGAAATTCGTTTTGAATATTTTTAAAATCCCAACTAATTAAAATGAATTAAATTACCATATCTATATTGGATTCCAAAAGTTCATAAAATACTTACAAAGGTACATAGCGGGTTCCAGTAAATGTTCAACCAACCGTCTTTTTTAACTCCTCACTTAGATATTAACAGTAGTGAAGGAGAAACTTCAACATTACTTCAACATGTTCAAGAGTATTGTGCAACAATATGTTGGAGAAATGGCTTTGTTGTTAGATAACCATTAAAGTATTTTTGTAATTGAATATCCAGATATAAAACAGATGAATCACACTCTGTGGTATCTTTTATCTCAAGCTCACCGGAATATGTCGTATCGTATACGAGGGGTGATCAAAAAGTTCGCAAACTAACTCTATATCTACAAAACCACAATTCAGATTTGAATGAAATTCGGTACACACATAGCCATACACAAGTTCTATATATAGCATATGCTGAATAAAGTTTCTCTCCTTGTTTGTGACGTCACAATGTGAAAATGACGTCACTATTTAGGTCACTTGTGACGAAAAATGGTTTTCTCTGTCAAACTCGTTCAACAAACGACTGTACAATTTATTGTAATATCTTAGAAATCCCTCTACAGTATCATATAATAATTTGTACAAAGTTTATTGAGATAAATGAGTTCCTATAAATTTAATTAATGATTGGATTAATCGTTTTAGTGAAGGAAGGCTGATGGTTAAAAATGATACTTGTCATCTTGCTCAGTGAAAGCAAGTTTGAAAAGATATGTATTTTTAATTAAGCAATTTGCTATCAAAGACCTCCAATTAGCATTTTGAAAAATAGTTGAATATTTGAACAATGATATAAGTATTAAATACCTAAGATATCGTTTACTTTAGATTTTAAACATATTAGATATGATAAAAAGGATGTACCCATTCTCTATCCACCCTGAATAAAGCTCTCTCCTGAGACAGAAGATTTGTGTTTAAATGGTCGCCATGCTTATTTTTGGAAAGGATGTTATTATCCACCCATTCTGTTGCCGAGATATGACAATTTCTGACAAATGAACTGTTCTTGTCATAAAAATTAACTCACATGGAAAGAAATATAAAACTCGGAAAAATCTTTTAACTTTTGTGACAGAACGCTACAGAGAGGGTCACGTGACCGCCAATATCACGTGATTCGCGCATGTGCAGAACTATGATTGATGTGCATTAAAATCGGGGAGGCTTAATTTAAAATATAATCAACATTAAAACCAAATATTGTTTCTTGTATGGAAGTTATTCAATTAGTTTGCGAACTTTTTGATCACCCCTCGTACATAAGAATGGAAATAACCATTGTTAATTGACAGTATGTCGTCGACATATCTTATGTTGAGTTGAAGGCCACAGCAAGCGCTTTCTTCTTTTCATGTACAAGATTTTGCACAAATTCTGCTTCATATGAAAACAAAAAATAGGTCTGTTAATATCGGAACACAATGATATCCATGGGAATTCCAATAGAGTGTTGGAAGTTCTGGTCTCCAAAAACCACATGGATATTGTCAATCAGAAACTCGAGCATCCCTTTAATATCAATTTCAGAGTACTTGTGTGAACAATCAGATTGGCCTTTTTAACAAAATAATTTTGCAAATGACCAATGTCAAGGTCAGTTAATTTACGAGTTCGATTTTAATTGAAAAAAGCAGCTGTTTATGATGTCAGGAAGCCTAGACTTTAATTTATCGCCAAAAATAATAGTATATAAAGTCGAAAAGTTTTTATGTTGGCGATTTTGGAAAAAAATTGTCATTTCAAATGGTCCAAAAATCCCTTTGCATTCTTAAGTATCTACATCTAATTTATACAACTTATTGATAAAATTGTTGAACAGTTCCCTTGAAGTTTCCCCCTGTCTACTGTTAATATTCAAATGAGGAGTAAGGAAAGAGGATTTGAATGAAGGATACGGAGATAACGAACAGTATTCAATATCAAAGTCTATAACACTGTACAAAATAGGAGCAGAGCAAACACGGACGTCCGAAACATCAGGGGTGGGATCAGGTGCCATGGAAATTTGAGCGTCCCCTACCGACCGGTCACACCCATCGTGTGCTCCTTGTCATTATCGGGAAATAACAGAAAACTCCGTCCTTAATTCCGTGTATAAATAATGGACTAACAATTAGTCTGAAAAACGACAGTCAGTATTTGACTCACTGATAAATTTATTTGCTGACAAGGTCATTGTATCAACCATAAAACTTACGAAATGATGACTTTAAACGAGACTGCTGATATTCTTGTTTCATCAACTTGTTTGGCAATAATTTACCTCGTTTTAGAAATTGTTCATACGCAGAGCATGCTTTTGCGTATCGAATCAACTAAGAGATATAAACTCCGTATGCAGGTGATGAAGGTATATTGCTGCATAAATATGATTGAACTTGGTTGTTGGATTACCATTAACGTCTTTTTCAAGTAATATATCCAAGTTTGCAACTGATGCGTCAGACTCTGTGGTATCTTTTATGAAAGAAATAAATTATGAAATGAAAAAATATGCTTTAACCAAGCTATACGATAAACGTAATTATTTCAACTTTTCAATCGTCAAAAATTTTTCCCTTTTACAGTAGTATTTATAGCAATATCACCTTACATTATCACCTGAATATGGGATAAATATCTCTCAGTTGATCCGAACGAGAGATTACGGAAAAATTGAAACGAGTTAAGATAATGAAATTAAGTTGATGAAATAAAATTTTCAACAGTTTCTTTTATGATTATTATTTATATACTAGTAGTCAAAACTTGACAACAAATACAATGTAACAGTATTTTACATGGGGTATTTTAAGGACAAAGTTAAGAAAAGAAGGGTTTTAATGAGTCATACTGATTTGAAAGCATCCTAAAGTATATAGTGAAGGTCCATGTTCAAATTAGGGACACATGAATCGGGTTTTCAAAAATAAATACATTGATTTATTTTTTAAAATCTTTGATTTTAGAACCAAAGGTCATTATTAGAAAATTTAATATTCAAGCATAGTCAAGTAGTTTAGACTGCTTTGGATAAATCATAGTCTCAAAGCTATTGTGAGGTTACATTAAGCGATCATATTATTACATAGGGATTGTTCTAAACATCGAAAAAGGCCATAGGCTGGTCATTTTAAGTGAACTACTTTCAGGAGGTGCAGTTCAAGTTCAGGCAAGTCATAGTCCCGGAGATTCTCTTCAACAATCACTGTATACGATGTCAGATAGAAAGATGGAAGTAATAAATTTTAACTGCACTTTTACATAACCTTATTTTAATACAGTTTCAATTAAATGCTAATAAACATTTGTTTTGACAAGTTTCTGAATTCTTCTTTTTTTTTTTATCTTATTAGGACCTAAATCCTTGAAATTATAAACTAATTTGATTGTTATATAAGAAATAAGAATGCGGGCATCCTGATTAAAAATTTATTTATTTATAAAAATACTCTAAATAAAACGATTAAAGTACAGTTACATAAGATTGTTTCCCCGAGGGTTTTCCTTTATTGACTTATTCAATTACTCAACAACCTTCATTGTTTATCCATGAAACCTTTGTCTTTTATAATAATTAAAAATATTACTAAAAGTATAACATGTTGAACCATTTTTATATCCAGAATTATATCAAGAACTACACATTTATAACATATTCACAGATATTTGGTGGTGTATTGCACAATACAGCATAAAGAGAGAGAAGTAGTTAGACCATTAGTTTTACAAAGGCCTTAATTGTCTAACATTGCTGTAGTGATTTTCTAGCCTAACCTTAAAAAAAAAATTCTCGAGATTTTTCCTACTTTATGAACACGGAAGAAACCGTCGTGGAAACGCTCTTTTTAAGTATTATAAACTTCCAGCCATTAATAAGGGTAATGTTGAGGAAGTTATATGTATTTGTTTCCGGACAGGTTTTGAAATGGCATTGTTGAATTTAAGACTTTTTGTCATTTTTCTTTCTTTCGGAATTCTATTTACAACAATAGGTAAGAGGACATTGTTTTAAATACAAGTTTTAATGATTAATTTGAATTTTGAAAAAAAATTAAAATTTTCGCTTACTGACAGGTATAATGATTATAAAAAGAGGTGTAAACACTGCAGTATTTGGAATTAGATTATCGTGCAATCATTATATTCCATTGAGGCTCAAAAATCCTGGAATTGTGGGTATCTTTCATGCAGAAATTAACATTCTACACGAATTTAATATACTAGGTTTTAAAAGTCATATGTTCTTCCGTAGGATGAGTGAATACCTATCTAAGAGCATATAAAGTTTAAGTAATCCAGGGAAATTATATGTACCCCGCACGAGCCTGATGATTACACAGAATATAAACCATTATATCAAATGTAATGTTTTCTAGAATATGCGTAAGTAAGTAATTTACTTCAAAAATTTACATCAAGAGAAGAGGAAACTTACTTATCGTCTATCTGCCACTTTTGTACGATATAATAAGACAGTTGTTAACACCAGGAAACAACATTTAGAGTATAATCACAACAATAATAATCAAAAAGAATTCCATGTTTTCTATGCCAGGTTCGGGAAAATAGAAAAATTGTTTTATTTATCTAATGTCGCTTTACATTTTAGAAAGTTGTAGCAGCTTAGCAAAATCAATTGCTTGCAAAATAAAGACCACCCAAAAAATAAAATTGTTGACAAAGAATCCCTCCGGGGTGGATGATGGCGCCGACGCCTACCATAACATAGAAGACGCCTGTAATGGAAAGCCGTCCAAACGATCTAAGTAAGTATTGAATGGCAAAGAATTATGTGTCTGTCACAACAGATTAAAGAAACATTTACAAATACATGAATACTTTTTGTAGTTACTCTTGCAGTGAAGGAACTTCTCCAGGAGGATTTGTTTGCTTAAAATCCAGCATTCTTCGGTATATCTATGATCTTGGAACATCTACTCAGTACAATTTTCAGGTACGGCTTGTTAACTGGCAAAGGAGAAACGCTAAATGTATAAATACAAAAATGCATTGGAAATATAGTTAAACAAAAGGGTAAACATATAGCTAAAACAAATACACTATGTAATAAGGTTGAAAAATATATTATGTCATAAAGCTCGAATTCACAGTCATTAATCTCCTTTAAAAGTTTCACTCTGAAATGATTATATATACCACTTGTTTGAAATATTGCAGGTAAATGCCATCGCAGGTGCTTGCCACACATCTACATCCAAACATTATTTGGGGGAAGCAGTAGATCTGGAACTGGACAATGGACCTACTCGGAAGGCACAGGAGAAATCCTACATGGACGCTTGTAAAGCTGCTGGGGGGTGGTCACATGGAGGGACACATGTTCACTGTCAGATAGGTTTGTTTGTATTTTTCGCTTGTAAAGTTTGATAATTTGTACAAAAATAATGTAAGTTTTTTTTAATTTTCCTTTAGTATAGAATACGTGACTTTGAAATATAATTTCATCCTGACATATTGCTGTTTAGAAAATTCATTTCCATTTTTATTTGTTAAACTTTTAAACTGTTCTACGTTTTCCGCGTTTTTGTTTTGACTACCAAATCCGATTGTCTTTAAAGCCCTAGATAGTTTTCAATAAAAATGTAATAAAAACTGTTGAATCCTTGGGTTTATACATGTACATAAATTAGAACATAAGTGAAATTTCATGCAGAAAAATGCTCTAATAATGTTTAAAGTCATCATATATCCGAAAGTCAACAGACATTCATAATGCGTCCATTCTATCATCTTTTATAGAAATTTGTAGTTATTCGATAAATTTATATTTCACGAATAAATTTTTACTTTCCAGTTCCTTCCCAGCAACAGAACCACCTGAGTAGAACAGCTTTGTTTTGGAAATCTTTCTCTGAAGAGATGAAGGATGGGTTCACTGAAGTATTGAAGAGGAAGGTTAAAATTACGAGAATCAAACGTTGAGGCAGCAGTATATTCGTATAAAATATTACGTTTAAGAACTTGGAAAAAGCTGTGTAACAATGACTCTCAGACCTTTTTAGCACATTAAAATCATTTGATGTCTTATTTGTGAATCAATATAATTTGAAAAATAGAACGATTTAATACATATTTTTATCGAATAAACTAAAGTACATATTTAAAAACAGAGGTAAATGTATTGCAACTGAACAAATAAACTTGTTTTCATCTTGTAACTTACGAATAATTACAGTCAAAAAAGTTTTCCTTGTGTTACATTGCTGGAACGTGACATCATTAGACGAAGGGTAAACTTACTTAGGAAACTGAGCAACTATATAGTCTTGTTGAAAAGGACAAAAAATTGCTACATTTACTACTTCGAGTTCTAATAAAAGAAAACTTATTATTAAAGTGATCCCATCTCAGATGTTTCAGATGTCGTTTTCGATTTGCTTCTATTTTGCACTGACTCATTAAAAACTCTTTGCGAATAATTAAAAATAATACTAGTTTGTGTCTTCTATCCTTAAGAATTCGCATAGTTAAACAACAAGTTTTGAACATACAAAAGAGTAGCAATTAATTTTTCTTGTTTCCCCTTGGAAGAATGCGTTGCATTTGTACGAAATGTGTCAAATTTGTTTGATTGTAATCCTGAGTAAGGTCATGGAAAAGAAGAGATATGTTTACAGACACATAATGGATAAATATACAGATGCCGAACACTCTGTGATAAGATGTTTTTATTTACTAATTTGGCACAGGTGAGCTAAAACTATGAATCATGTGTATTTTATTTCTTACATATCGAAATTATAATAATTGTCATTTTTGATGACGTTCCTAGTTTGTTTTCATTATATTTTCTCCGCCTTTAGCATGTCACTTATGAAAGATAACGACCTCCTCTTATAAATACATGCTGATGAAGGCCCCTATAAAAAGAAAATTAACGGTCAGATTCCGCCAAAAAAGCTAAGCTCAATTATGTTTAGATACATTGTTTTAGGGTTAGCTTTTTCTTCATGGATAGTTTACGGGCAAATCTGGTAAGAAAATTCATATATTATAGATGAAAATTGAATGTTACTGTTGTTTTTACTCTTGTTTATTTATACCTTACTCTTTTAATTGAACGAAACATGTGTATATAACGAATAGCATTCAAACCCAGAAGTCCATTAAACAATACAAAATAGGAGCAGAGCAATCAAAAACTTGTTCATTCGTTGAGCCTTCTATTCCGTCTCGATTCAACTGAGAGATATAAACCACGCATGCAGGTGATAAATAGATGCATAGAAAAGCGAAAGAGACGATTGAAAATTTAAAATTTAAGTCATCATCTTTGTCATAAAGCTTGGTTGTTAGATTACCACTAATGTCTTTTCCAAGTAAAATATCTAAATATGAAACAGATGTCAGACTCTTTGGTTTCTCTTATTTCAATTTCACCGCAATATATCGTATCGACATAAGAATCATTATGGAAAAAACCATTGGTATTGACAATACATCTTTGATATATTTAAATGTCGAGTTGAAGGCCACGGCAATGGTTTTCTTATTTTTACGCATACTATTTCGGACGAATTCTGCTTCATATGAATACAAAAATAGGAATGCTAATAATGGGGCGCAATTGGGAATTCTAATAGATTGTTTGAGAACTTAGTCTCAAAAACACACATTAAACTCGAGCACTTTTTTTTAGATATCAACATAGTATTTGTGTATACAATAAGCAGAACTGCATAATGAGAAAAAAAAATGTTTTCCTCAGATAAAAAGATTAATGTTCAACAGATTTTTATGTTCCTTTTTTTTCTTATCATTATTTTTTTAAACAGTACCAACACAAACATCAACACTGTCGCTAGGGTCGTTTTCGGAGAAGCCCGAGGAGAACCGATGAGAGGCCAACTAGCTGTTGCTTACTCCATTGTCAACCGGAAAAATCATCAAGCTTATCCAAACACCATCAACGGAGTGGTGTACCAGAGGCGAACAAATAGCAGAAAATACCAGTACGACACGTTAGATATGCCAGGCCACACCCGAGCTTGGAACGACGCCAAAAGAAGGAATACACAGGAATACAAAAACGCAATAAAAGCGTCCGGTGACGCATTATGCAATCGGCAGAGAGACCCAACGAGATGTGCCACAGATTACTGCGCCTTTGATCCTTGTCATTCAACAACATCAAATAGGTGGTGGAGAGCTACCAACAAAGTGAAAATTGGAAACCACTACTTTGTGTGTCGCGTTGCTGCCAGCGGATAATACCATGGGAGCTTTCCACAACTCTATAAATTTCGGTGGTTCTCGCAAAAGTTCGAAAGTCCAGAACGTTTTATGACGCGATTTTTTTTTCTTTTATAGCAATAGATAAAATCATTTGAGAAACACGTTTTGAATAAAAATGTGTTTAAAAAAATGCTTTTAATGATAACTGATTATATATTTAAAGAGAAAGGAAAATGGTCATGATCAATATATATAAAACTTTCTAAATAAAATGCATTTTAGCTCTAATGAGAAAGATATTTCTTTATAGAAGTCAATATTTAAAGCCATATATGGCGTATGTACAATGAAAATTATTGGACTAAAATTATAAGAACTTATTATTTGTATCATTACTTTATATAAAGATAGAACTTTTCCGTAAATTACAAAATCTAAATCAATTGCGTTATAAAGATATCACAATTTAATTTGGATTCTCGGAATTTTCTCCGACTCGGAAGAAAATACAAAAGATTTAAATAACACATTACAGAGAAGATAAAATCGTATTATTAGATGAAACGAGGTGTTCTCCGTGTTTAGAATTGTATGAAAAGCTTTAATTTAAATGTATCAACTACATTTCTTTACTTAATTTTGTATTTTTCAAAAATATATTTTTTTGATCAGTTACGCCATATATGGCTTTAAAAAATGTGACAACATTGCTTCATTCTAGGTTTTAAAAACGCCACCAATTTTTTCATTCGAGTTGTAATATTTGGCACATTTATTTTGACTATTTAGGACTGTTTAAAAACAAGTTTAGATTGAATCGTATATCGCTCCTTGTCATATTTTGAGTCCTCTGAAAATCACCATTTTCAATAAATATATGACGCATAAATGTTTGACACATGTTACATAATTAAACAAACTATTTTTAAAGCAATGATATTTTGAATAATTCAGTCGTGAGATTTTTTTCTCATTAATTAATACAACCTGAGGTCATCATGAATCATCATATTTTGTGCATTTTCAACATCAACACAAATTACATACTTAGATTTATCGCTAAAATCTAATGTAAACCAAGTGGAATTCCGTCGCAATTTAATAAGATTTATATTGTTCCAAAAAATAATTACTGTTTAAATTATGATATGCTAAAGTCAGAAAGATGAATCAAACTCATCTGCGCTTACTCGAAAATGTATTTTGCTACTTTATCACAATAATCACCTTGTACTTTATTTTTGCCTTAAAGATGAGATTTAAAGTTATAGATAATAAAATTAAAAAAATCATTTAATATAATTTATCAATATATGTCTTTGTCAGAATTCATTATTACATTATTCATTGTCCAATCCTTTTGTTGTAACATCTAAATAAAATATGTTCAAACAAAATTCTCCCGATATAAAGCTGCGAATGATGACTGAAATAAAATGTGATGATAAAAAAAGACACAGAACTGTTTGTTTCGATCAGAGAAATAAATTCGAAAAAAAAAAAAACGAAAAATCCTCGACAAGATTAACTCACTAAGAAGATTACTTCCTTTGTTTAAGTTTTGACCTTTATGCACTTATTCAAAGGCAATATGAAGTCACTAAATGACTAGAAATGTCGTCATAATACAAACTGTTACATAAAAATTAATGATCCTGTTGTAATATTAATGTGTTACATGATAGATGAAATAAAGAAAGGTGCCGATGTCTCCTGTTCTGAATACAGTCCTAGAAATAGTACATTTGCTTTAGTGGGGATGGGGGAAGTCAAATTACTAGGAGGATTTTGTCTCTAATAATGATGTACGTTATAAAAAAAGGCGAAGACAACGAACATTTATTGTTCTTATAAATTGTATACAATTTATGTGAAGAGGGGATACAAATCCAAAGGTGCCTTGGAGGAGGATGCATCCCCCTGTTGACCGGTCCCACTCGCTACGAACCCTATGTATTGATCAGAAAGACGGAACATTCCATAGTTAATTTTAATAAAAACATAGACGTAACTAGAGCAAAGCTCGTTGCAAAGCAACGAGTAGGTCTTCCGTCCTGTTTGACCGGAAGTAACTTTTGTTTTTTAAAAGAAGAGAAATGACGTCTCTAATGATTTAAATCTTTCAAATCTATGTTGAAAATTGCAAAAGTAAGCCATTTTTGTTCCTTCCTGTTTGACCGGAAGTGACGTCGACGGACGGAAAATTAAGTTTCATGCTTCCAGTGACAAATATTTCCCCAAAACATGTCAAAAACGGCAAAAATATGCAGTTTCGGACTACTTCCGGTTTGGCCGGAAGTGAAGTCACAGGACGTATTTTGATGACATCAGTAGATTTTTCCAGAGATTTTCAACAACTTTGCTTCTTTAATGTGTAACAAATTCTCAATACTTTTTGAGATATCTGGAAAAAACCTTTGGCTCCTCTAGATCCCTTAATTTAGGGGTCAGCCCTTTTTCCGAGATATCATTTGAAAGATCTTCTAATTCTGCACAAAATATGTTCTATATACTTTAACAAAATATTTTTAGTTTAGAAGATAAAAAGCAAAATATGAGTAATTTTTGACTCTTTTAAGCGTTCTAATTTTTGACCCCTATGTAGCGCCATTTTGAATAGAGAAATTGAAAACAAAAACCGATGTGCACAACTTCAATCAGTAGAATTTCTGCTCCAGCTTTAGCCGTCTCTGAGCCTCTGTCTGGAAACGAAAGCCTATAAATTTTTGTTTAAAGGAAAAAACTCAAAACCGGAAGTGACTTTTTGAAATTTTTGACAGCATTCTGATAGAGTTTAGTAACTTCTAGTATCTCTGAAAATTTGAGCGAAATCAATTGAGAAATGAGTGAGATATGAGGCTTCAAAGTTGGCGTCTAGGAAGTAGAAGAAAAAAAAAAGAATAATAATCTTTACCAACAGAATCAGTAGAAGGTCTTCCGTTGGAAACGAAAGACCTTAACAAGAAGGTATACCTAAATTAAACTTCCATTGCTTATTTAATGTGATCCTAGAACCAGCTTAAATAAAACTGGTCTCTCAACAGCCGCTAGGGTTCGATGAAAGGAACGATTACCTGTACTTGCTTACAGCGGGTCCGAGGAAACCAATTGTTTTAAGCATGTCATGTTTTAGCCTTTTCTAAGTGTTTCTTCACTGACAGTGTAGTCCAGTTGTTTTAAAATTTAGCACAAATGTTTACCTCATTAATCATATTTACTGACATTTCACCGATAATAAAAAAAGTGCCATTTTAATAAAGATATAAAGCGAAATCTACTCTCCTTGTTAATTTTGACCTGATTAATTTTTTTGGTATTTGCTCGTTCTTCTTCGTGCGTAGTAAAACGAAAAATCTACGTAATTGATGCATTTAATTTTATAAATACTCATCTTTATAGATGAATAACAACAATGCAAACATAAAATACATGACATATATGACATTAAATTTTCTTTTTCATAACAACTGTACGAGAGAATTTAAAATCTTGAATAAAGTCCGTTCCTCATTCATTTGATCCCGTTATTTCAAATAGAGTGAAGACATTCCCCTTGTTTTGATCAACCCTTTTGGGCGACTTCGATTTGTACCCGAGTATTAACTCTTGATTGACGTCACATGACCGGATGTTTACACAAACATGTGCTTTTCATATGAGTTTGAAGGGTAGCGAAAATAATGGCGTTCACCTTTGCAATGTGCGATAATCTTATCAATAAAGTAACAAGTTTGCGCATTTTAGATTCTTAGGAATTCAGGCTCTAAGACCAAAACTGAGAATAAAATTTAGATTTTAAATTTTTTATAATTATTTTACGAACATGCTTAAAAACTTTCAAGTACATTGTATTTGAATACAAAAATAACTTGAATGTTTTGTTTCATTTTAAGATTTTATTTTATTTTCATCTTATTATGTTTTTAACATTTCATTAATTAACTGCAAATAATGCATACGCCATGTACCCATTTAAAAAATTGTGCTTTGGAAAAAAATGAATGAGAATCTTAACTTTTTTACAGCTATATTGTAAACTTTTGTTTTTTTTTTTTAAATATGAAAAAAGTATACCTATTATATTATAAACAATGCATACTTGTTCGTTTTTATTTATACTATTTTCTAATTAGTTTTTTTCCTCTATGAGATTTAAAAGGCGGTCAAATAGGTCCATTTCGACATCATCTGGTGAGTTAATTTTGTCTATTGCTTATGCTGTAGTTGAAATGTTTTTTTTCCAGCTCTGAAAGTTTTTGGTTTCGAATTTGAATTTATGTCTCTGTTGTTATCGGGCAGTAAGCCTGAAAAATCTAATCAAATAAACATATATTCATATAAATTATAAAGCTTTCATGTAGAAAGTGTGTTTCGAAGTTTGCTTTTAAGGATTAGCGATGCTAAACATAATATTCTGTAAAAAATAATTCCTACAGTTTGGGTTTTTCTTTCGACGCCGCCATATCGAAACTCTAGTAATCCTATTGTATGGCTGGGTTAGCTTGGGTAGAGTTCATAAGGTCATATGACGTAATTTGAGTAGTAACTATGGTCGTTCGATTAAAACTCAAGTAACTCGAGTACTTACTGGGGTAGAACCGAAGTCGCCCTTTGTGTACCGAGGAATATAAGGAACCTTTTGTGTACATAACAATACCAAAAGGAAGCAGCCTATAATACTAGTATGTCATTCCTATAAACGATAACTCAGAAATCGGGACTTGGTTGCTCGTTATTTTTTCACTTGAGTTACACAGTACCGTACAAATCAAATATTAATTAAGTAACTTTTTAATGATTCAATCTATCAGATAGTTTTTACTTTATATGTAACTTGAAAAATTAGTAGAAAGGCCAAAATAAAAGATTGAATATATATATATATATATATATATATATATATATATATATATAGAAAGCACAAAGAAATTCACTTTTACATGGATACCCACTTCCGCCCCAGCCCGGGGTTGAACTTTCGACCTTCGGAATCTGTCTCCTAGCAGTGCAGGAACAGCGCGCTAGACCGCTCGGCTATCTAGGCAAGTCAAAAAACTTGCTTTCGATGCCGATGGAATTCTCGCGGCGCTGCCCTACACTACACGGTCATTGAGAATAGAAGTGAGATACAGTTATTTGGACATTAGTTTTAACAGAGGATTGTTACCAATACATGTTGTAATGAAATTAATTATTATTTATAAAGCACAATTTACAACAACTCTTAAACTAATATAACTGCCCTAAGTGAAGAAATATTAAGATAGAAAGCACAAAGAAATTCACTTTTACATGGATA